TTTGTTTTACTCACTCTAGTACCATCCAACCACCAGCACCAAAGTTTCATTATGAAAGGTTACAAGTTGTAATGCAACTGTACTGGAAAAGACACTTCTCCGCCACTTTATCTTCAGTAGCAAGTTTCTCATTTTTGTTCAATACTGGCCAGCTTTCAAATGTTACCAGGCTTGATCAGCACAGTTAACTCAAACCTTTATCAACTACATAGCCAACACCAATGTGCCCTAAGCCACAAACATACAGTCTCACTGACTAGTTTTGAGGTAAAAGACTGCACTTCTTACTTTGGCCGCTTGGCATTACTCTGACAGGGTCACCTTCTTCAGCACAGGACAGACAATGACAAAATGTTAATCATAACCTGAAGACTTGCACAGGTAAGTTTACAAAGTACTGAATTGCGAGAATTATACTTTTCAGCATATAAGAAATGTAAGAAATGTTTGGAACAAAATCACAATTCGTGGACAGGTGACCCAGTCATTCCAGCAAAGGTATATCCAATAGTAAAGGTATATCCAAATACAAATCCAATATTCAGCTTCTCCCAAGCCAAACAGTATTCCAGATTCAATGCACTCAGCTTCACCCCTGTCACCTGCAAGCATGTTTCATACTAATTCATTCCAAGTCAAATTCTACACTTACACCAGTGAAAAACCCAGGCAGCTCCAACACTACTGTCAAAATTATTTCAGTATTACAGCATGTGGCAGTAAAGTCTGTACCCCTGTCATGTAATTCAAGTTCCAGGCACCTGATTAAGAACCAGTCCAGCACTTCACAGATAAAATCAGCATTTTGAAAACTCACCCACTGTTTGCAAAATGCAACATGTGAAAGCCAAAGCTGGATATCTTCCTGTTGGAAATGCAAGGGGGAGAGAATCAACCTTACAATAAGGCAAGCACAAAATCAGTTGCACATTGACAAGCAAACAATATGCCCTTGGTCTGATGACTTGGCGTACAGACAGAAGAAATTCTGAATGTCAAATCCCTTTTTTTCCCCACAGATCTTCAAATTCCTCCAGAACATCCCAAGCAAACAACCTCCTCATCTCAAAACACTGCCTCTAAGCCTCTCCAATCAAATCTATGTTACACTGAGCCCAATACAGAGCTCACTGTAACATGTCCTGAGACACACATGTATCAAGACAAGCTTTTCCTGAAGCAGCTGAAAGTTTTTCCTCATTCTGTTTCTAGTCCTTACAAGCAGACAGACCAAACTCACACTGCAGTACGTGCTCTAGACAGTTGAGAAATAATGACTTGGGAATGATAAAATTTTGTTTATATATGAAAAATGTTTATCCCAAACAAATTATCTCCTTCTAGGGCACTGCGAACTGTAAGACCAAACATCCACTTAGCTTTTCTGCTACATTCTATACTACTGCAAATATTGGTGGCAATAACAAGGTAATCGTTTTACACACCAAAAAGGCATTTTTCAATCTATCAATACAAATAAACAAACTTACTTTCCATTTTCCTGTAGCACGCTTGAAGAGGCAATGGACTCTGTGCAGAATAGAGTTCTCAATTTCATCCTTCTTAAACGGATACCCAATGCGCTAGGAGGCAAAATGGAAATATTAGTTTTACTGCAATAGCAAATTTCACATAAAGGATTTTGCACAGTGAATAACTGACAAACTTACTGCTCTTCGCTTCTTGATCAGCTCCAGCAGATTAACTTCATACTAGAATGGGGAGGAAAAAACCCAAACATTTAAAAGCAAATGAGGAAATGCATGAGAATAAGCAAAAAACTACAGATCAAGATTTTTATAGCTAATCAAGTGGGCAATAAAATTCCATCCAGGAAAGCTAAAGTTACAAGTTTTTGGCCAGATCACTACATTTCTAAGGCTGACTGAAACTGAGTACTTCTACTGTGCATGGCATTTCTGACTTGAGCTATTAGCATCTCATACTCCTCGAGTCACAATGCACAAGCCAAACTTGTAACACTTCAAGAAATTAATTACACTGAACTGCAATCTGCACATCACATCAGGGAACTGGGATTTCTGCATCCCTGCAGAGAAAAGAAACTATAGGGAAAGGCCACAATAAGAAAGAGTCCCTCGTCCCAAACTGGCTGCGCTGCATACTCTAGTGTGTCCTGATTAAGAGCCTGTGCTAATAAACGACTTCCAAGGCAACACCAGGGCCCCGTTTCCTACGTGGGTAACTGCAAGACCCCTTCACTTCTAACTGAGCTGGATCTCCACGGCGGGTTCGCACGCCCCGCTATCAGCAAAGCCTACCTGAATGTAACTAATGAAGTCCTCTTTCCGCAGCGCTCGCCGCTGTATCTTGTACTCCAGAGCCGAGGCCTTCCTCAGGACGGCCCTGCGGGAAGGGGCCATCAGCGAACGCATCCAGCCCGGCCGCCCCGCCAGCGCTCGCTACCGTTCCCCGTGCAGGCGGTGGTGGTGCCGCCGCCTTCCAGCTCACCTGATCTCCTTCCGCGTGAAGAGCCCGACCCGCTCCAGCTGTTCCAGCTCCGGGATGCGGTCCTCCAGCCGCTGCTCCACACGCTCCGCCATGGCTCCGGCACCACCCGGGCCTCACGCGTGCGCCCACACCGCCACCACTGCCGGCCTTCCGGGGCGGGCCCGCGCCGCTCTGCCGCCCCCTGCTGGCTGCGCCGGCCTTTCGCCGGGTCCAGGTCCGGGCGGTGAGCAGCGTGTGTGGTGTCGGCCCCAACTGAGGCGGGCACATGGCTTCGGGTGGGATCCCTACCGGGATAAACCGCTCCTCCAGGCTCCACGGGACTTTAATTCTGGGATTAACAACAACATTGAGTCCAGAGGAGGCCACAAAGATGCTCCGAGGGCTGGAATACCTCTGCTATGGAGACAAGCTGAGAAAAGCAAGCTCTGGGAGAACTTAGAGCAGCTTCCAGTGCCTAAAGGGGCTGATAACAAGCTGGAGAAGGGCTTTTGACAGGGGCATCTAGGGACAGGACAAGGGGGAATGGCTTTAAAATGACAGAGGGGAGAGTGAGATCAGACATCAGGATGATGTTCCTGTGGTGAGGATCGCTCCCTCACAGAGGAAGGGGCAGCAGCTGTTTCTCAGACAGCAAGCACATGGGCAAGAGGACTTCTGGCGTGGCATTTTTTGTATCTAAGAGCCAAAAAAGCTGTGGGTGATCCTTCCCTTTTCTGATAGTAAAATGGCTTCAAGCATGGTGCTGAGGACAGAGCGAGAACGTGAGCAACTGACTTCTGTTAAACACCCGTAAGACAAAACATAAGAACAACCAAGAATAGTCGTCATTTTTTTTCACCTGCCATGACTTGGATTCATAATGGTTCTTGTCAACATTAGGCACCAATTAAAACACAAGTGAATTCTTAGTGGGAGAGGTTTAGCAGCTTTTCACTCTGACAGGAAACAGTTGACACTGTTTTCCAAGAAGTGATTGAACAGGAAATGGAGAGTCACCATCCAGCCACAAGACCAAGAGCTGCAGTCTGCTGCGTCCAGAGCATGGTGGCTGGAGCAGGTCTGAACCACAGCTGCCTGGAGCAGAGGGACCCCTTAACCACTGTGCAGGAACAACAGCAGTTCCCAATGCCACTGTCCACCGTGGAGGCTTCCATGTCCTACACTGCACTGCCATAACCCGTGGGTCTGCACATCACAATGCTAGCCTGTCGCCTTTATATACTATCCATTTACTACCAACTTTATACACTTAGAATATTCACACTAGAATTGGCAAAACTCAGTGCCCCAGAGCCATCCCTGCAGCAGAAGGAGGAACTCCCCACAGTAAGGACAGCCAGAGCAGGGATCAGAACAGCCATCCTGACATATGCCAGCTCCATGTGTGAGCCAGAGCCTTCAACGTCCTGGGGCCTAAATGTCAGTGAGTTTACCTCCCTGAAGTTCAGCTTCTAGTAAAGCAGCACAACGGGTAATCCTTCCCAAAACGGTAGTGTAGAATGTTATTCATCATCATCAGAAACAGTTCTTAAACATATTTGGTTTCTTTTTTTGGAGATTGACCAGCTCAAGCAGATTCTTGAGTAATTCCACAGGCTACTAAAATAGTACTACAGGACTACACTGGGCCTGAAAAGCTACATTAGCATACTGACTCACTAAGCAAGAATGTGATTGGAATTGCTACAATTGATGGCTTAACTTCAGTTATGTGGGTATTTGTGCATCTGACTGCATGATTTTCTACTGTAAAAGCATTCTCTGTTTAGAGCTTATTTGTCTCAGTGCACTTAGATCACAACAGTTACACAAGCAGACCACGCAGACCACGTGCAGTGCAGGAATTCAAAGCTTAAAAGGTTGATATCAGTCATTACCAGGAAACATCCAGGAAATTCTATTTCTGTCTTCTTGCTCTCCTCATTCTTTAAACACTGATGTCTCCTTCGGCTGAAAACCAGCAACTGTGAGATACAAACATGAACAAGTCTTCTGAAACGTTCTGGTTGATCATTCTGTCAGTCTGAAGATACTGTTTTGTGATCAACTCCCAGTGAGTTGGGAACTTTGAAACTCAAACCCCACCACCAAACAAACAAGCCATGGCTGTTTTATTAACACAGATGATAGAGAAGTCCGTGTACCTCAAGGGGCAACAGCAACCTCCACCTTGAGTAGTGCTGCTGGGAGAATTCAGCTGTATGGACATATCTACCAACAGGTCTTTGACACATGTGAGAGCTGTCCACAAACTACCCCCACACCGGTAACAATGTGTGCCCAGCAATGCCTCTGAGGGCATTAAATCCCTTGTTAGCACTTGTCAAAGCACCACAATATCATCCCATAGAAGCATATAGGCACAGCACAAACCACTCTGCAGGACCCATCACTGCGGGACTCAAAGGAAGAAAGAATGGTGTGCACCAAAACAATAGACTCCCCAAGTTTCCAGTTTAGGGGCCCAGTATTTCCCACTCAAAACCACAGGCATAAAGTGTGTAACAGTAAGATTTAAAGTACTGAACTTGCTGATGACTTCATAGGATTATTTACAAATCAAATAGATCACAAACAGACTGAAAACATTGTGTGTTCCTTCAGAAATCCCTCCTTTCCTGTAAATGGAACAAGCACAAAAATACAAATGCCTTTCCTTTTCTTCCTCCCCAGCAAAACAATCCTTAGAACAATTAACATAACGGACTGTCAGAAGTGTTCAAACCAAAGTGACAAACGCAGTGAGTGGCAGGCAAGCCCAGCCCGACCCACCAGAACACTGCATGAAGGATTTGTCATGCAAATCAAAATGGAACCTGACATGCTCTTTGTTCATTTTCCTTTCAAAAAATCTACTTTAAATGCCTCCCATGTGCCTTGTTTTGGAAGCTGACATTCCAAATGCATCAGTGCAAATTAAGGGAGGTATCCATTACCAATAAAGACGTTGAGATACAGAGAGTTTCAACAAACCTTATTGGGAAGACTGGAGGGAGAGCTGCTGCAGTTTGCACCTGTAGGGTCGCTCTGTTTGCTGCTGCTGCTTTTACGAAGCGTCTTTAGAGAAACTCCATCATTTGCAGGAGAAGTTCTGGCAGGCTGTCACAGCTTAATGTTTCTAGATTATAGTCTGCAAGCAATGGATATACTGTGAACTAGGAATAACAACAGTGTTCTTGCTTTAAGTCTTATCTATATTAAAATGCATGATGGTTAATGGGCATATTTAATTAAATATTAAAAATATTTAAGTTGTTGATATAGATGTTTCTTGTTTATTTCAGCAGGTTTACTACCTGAATGCATAAACAATTACAACTCTTTAGAAGATGCCACCAGACGTACAGTATTTCACAGTTAGCTTGCACTATATGAAGATGCCTTTTAAACAAGAGTGGTGTTCTGAGCTCATGAAAATAACAGGGAAACTTCCACTAAGCCAAGGCAGGGGTTCAGCCTTAGGGACACGTTGTTAACAAAGCCCTCAAAGCATTTTCTGAGCATGTGGGGCTTTGGTTTAAAAATATATGAACACAACTGATAATAAAGCAGCTTGGAATTTACTCTATAAAATAGCCTAACCCAAACTTAGGGCTATATTAACTTCCCTAGTTTTGTTACTAAAACAATTTACATGATGATTTGGTTTCACTTCTGCCAAAACCAGCAGTCAATCTCCATCAACAGTGCATCATCACTGCAGTTTCACCCTGAGCCTCCAAAAACTTATATTGGAGACTATAGAGCTGGTCAGTTGGGCTCCTCCATACCTACATTAACACTGGTACATGTACCCATCCTACATCAATGTTATTTTCATCATTCTGGCAGACAGATGCTTGTCTTTGTCAATGCATTGCGTTACTCTTGCAGCATTAGAGCTGAATGATTCCTGGAATTTCATTCACTTATCTTTTCCTCAACTATTATTGGTTAAAAAATCCCAAACCATTTTCATTCAATGCCTTAACAGAACTATTATCTGACAATTTACTCTTACATATAGTCTCTTAAAAAAGACAAGACCTTTACGTTCTTCTTTGCTTTGGCTCTGAACTTGGAATTTTTATGAATCAGATTTTTCCTCCTACTCCTTTTGAGGCATTCAGCTTCTTTTCAACTGCCCCCAAGTCTGAACATCTATACATGGGGCATTTTCAGTGAGGGGGAATTGCTTCCATGCCAGTTCACATCTGGTACTCACTACAAGATCCATATGTTTATCCAGGGCCTCCAGAGGCTTGTACAGTAATGGCTATAAGTATGCCTTTTAATTCAATTTTGTCATTTGGCTGGTTAGCAAGTAGTTGTCAGTCTGTCTAAATGCAGCTATAACTGGTCAGTCATCATATTCTAGTTGTCAATTCATAATCCAGTGGAATATCAGTCACATTTCAACTATTTAAAACTATATCAGTCATTTCTTACATCCTCTTAAATTGTCAAATGCATTGCTTAAGTAACTTTAATTCAATATTATTTTCTGCATGTACATTTGTACTTAGGGTTGTTGCCAAAGCTCTGGAGAGCAGAGTCCTGCTAATCTTTATTTATCTCACTAACCTGTCTAGGTATGAAAAGCAGTGTAACTGTGGCATGGCCTTGGGTGACCTACCAATATTGTAAGTAACAAGGCAGCTAAAGATAGAACTTCCTCAGAGCAAAGTGTCATATCTTTTAAACACAGAGATGTCAGTTCCAGCATCAATTAAACTGACATGCCAAAGAGCATAAAATATGCCATATACAGGTTTATTTCTCCTTCCAAAAAGTGGGACTAGGATTGCTCACAGTTTGCCTCCTGCTATGTTTCTTACCTCCTTCTGTGGAGATGCGCTTAGCATGATAAAAGTACACGGTCATGGCAACAACCAGTAAAACTGCTTCGGGAGTAAGGATAATTTAGATTATCGTGTGCAGAATCATATATCCCAAGCAGCATTCTGAAAACAAGATAAACTCTTGTCAAAGCCTTCTGAAGCAACCTCTAGCATATAAACCCACAGATAATGTGGTAACTTGCATATGACACTTAGATAAGCTCTCCTGTGTGTGACTTTCATATGCCTAAATGGAAAACACTGGGAAAACAGTCTCTGCCCTGATCTTATCATTTACGTAATTGCTGATGATAAAATTCAAGCTCCTTATCTTGTTAACCTGTACTTGGTTTAGCCACAAAAGAGAGAATCAGTCGCTGTCAAAACTTACCCCTTATTTAAAGTTGAAATTAATCTGCAAGCTAATTAATGTGAGGTTTCATTTTACTATTTATTGACATATTCTTTGATCCTCCCCATATTTTTCTTTCTGATTGATTGAAGCTTTTATTCTTACACTGCCAACAGACCCCTTTGGTGAGAAACTTCTATTTACACCTGCAACTGACTTAATTCTCACATCTTCCCAACAGTTTCTCTTTAACCTGCATTTCTGAGTCTAATACTTGAGTTTCCATTGAAAGTGTTTCAGTTGCTGTATCTGTGGCAGTTTCCAGGACTCAGTTTAGGGAACACAATTCCTGAAAGTTCACTTAGAATTATTAGTTTTTCAGTAAGTACCACATATGCTATGTCTCTGAAAATACAGCATGATCTAGTGCGATTCTTATTCTATTTCCATGTATTAAGCATTTAAATGTAAAGATTTGGCATGGCTTTTTGTGTGTTTTGTTTGGAATCACACATTAAATACATTGTAGTGTGGGTGGGGGTTTTGTGAGGTTATTATATAGGAGGTCTACAGATTTTCTGTTAAAAAGTCCAACAACTCTGGATTAACATATTAAAAGATAGAGTTTTCTGAAGCTCACGTTTAAAAAGGGGGCTCATGGCAAAGATCCAGTTTCTCTGAGGACAAAAGGAACAAGAACTGTTCTACAGCTCACCTCAAGCCCCTTCATTTCTTCAAACAATTACAAATGTGATGAAGACATTCATAATGAAGGGCACAGACCAACCATTAAGCCAGATCAGGTCTCTTCCGAGTGCCGTGTGAGCTTCCTGAGCAACAACAGTCCTTCTTCTGCACAAAGACTCCACGAGTCCTTTTCCCACCTATGGAGTCTTTGGTGCTACATGGAATTTATTCAGGTTTCAACAAAGGGGAATAACACTGCCTTGCTTTTTTTCAGCAGACACTTCCCTTGATTTTGATCTAATCTTATATGAATAAAGATCTTGTTTTAAACTTTGCCTTTAAAACTAAGTGGCTGTTATCCAGAACTTACTGATTTTACCTTACAAACCTTATTTTTAGTTCCTTGTATGAGATGTCTTTTTCTGTAATAAATGCTTTTACTGTTAGTACATTTCTGGGCTTGCAGTTAAATCATCCTAAGAGATGTCCTACCTTTCTAGACCAAATCAATATATTGGGCCTAGGCTTTTCATAACACTTTCAAAACAATTCTGCTATTTTCCGTCCACTGTCTAAACACTGAAGACAAACACTACTGCTAAAAAGCCACCAAGCAAAAATAAATCATTACTGAAAATCAGTAAATAAATTTCATTGTAGAAGAGTAATTAAAAATATATTAAAGCATCACTTAAAGAACTCCAGGAAAAAACTCATGAGCACACATTTCTACTAAGCAATAAAAACTAATAATTATTACTTGTTGTTCACCATGTGAATGCAGAAGATAGGTGACTCTGGTGCAAACCATCCTGTGCACTCGCTTTTCACTCTCTACACTAACTCAAGACACATAAGCAACCTGCTGGCTGAAAGCTGAGCATTATGGGTGCATTAAGGTTCCCTGAGGGCCAAGTTCCTTGAGTGCTGTGCTCCTGGAATACATTTGAACAGCTCTGTACAAAAGCAGTCCCCAGCCAAACACAAGAATGAGAATCACAAGTGGCTGCACTGTCAATCTCCCACACATACTGCATTCACAGCTATACATAAAAATGCTTTCATTGCTATGCAAGATCTTAGCTCTTCCCTTTGCCATGCTTCAGTACAGTTGTTCACTTAAAGTTTATTTTCTCTTTTCTTAGTTCTTTGCTTATAAAAACAGGGCAGCACTAGATATTAACATGCAGAAAACCAAACGGAAACAGAGAGCTACCACCCCAACAGCAATATGATCCTGCCATCCTAAATATACTCAGTACTCCTCCGACCTGCTCTCACACCTTTACCCGGGAAGCTGCAGCCACTCCCTTTCTCCAGCTGCAATATTATGTAGCCTCTGTTTATAAGAGACTGGGAAAACACAAAGTGGGAGTTGACTTCTGCTTTCCAAGTAGGGAGGGAAAAGTACCTTATCTAATAATTTCCATAGCGTGTTACTGCTGATTGACATCAAATCAGGCTGAAAGTAAAGAATATTAACTGAAAAAATGAATTAATAACTCTTGCAGGTGAAATTAACTCAGCATCTAGTGAAGTTTATTTGTGTAAGCGAAGGAAATTGCATCTGCATTTGGAGTACAGTGATAGAGCTGTGGGATCCATACCTTCCCATCTATACATGAAGTAGTTTTATTTGTCTCAGTTCTACAGCATTTGTGTATTCTCACTCCTCTCATGGGTTTGGTGGTCTGGACAGAGAGTGTGAAGGAGAACCTGGAAGCATGAAAAAAGAAAGAAATAAAGTTTGGGTGTAACCATAGAAGTGCAGGTCTCTTCCATGCCAGATGCCCTTGAATCCCACTGAACGTGCTCGCTAGCTTGAGGCCAAAATAAAGAACCACAGCTACCCAGAACACTGGCTGTGAGGTTGTTATGCTCAGCAGCACCCTGAATAGCACACTTCAGCTCCTCCCCAACGTGATACAATAGCACTCTCTGATAAATAGTGACACTGGCTGTCGTAGTGGCCTCAATCTGTAAGCAGCTTTTAAAAAAGATTGACCAAAAGGTCATATTCACCTAGTCAGCATTACTTTTTTGTTCCAAAGTTATATTTAAGTTCTCAGAAGCTAAGCTAGATGTGTAGTAGTCTTTGGTTAGCTACTAACAATCTGTATAGACAGACCTGTGTTTAAAGGTGAGGAAAACAGTGTAATACTGATAGAACTTTCCTTTAGACTGGTATACAGGTACTTATTTCCCCTCTAAAAAAAAGGATTTACTTTGTAAATACTCCTGTGCTGAGATACAGTAATTCAGAGGACTGGAAGCTGGAAAGTAGCTGTGGTTATAGAGGTACTACAGGCAACCAAGAAATGCATGTAACTATGAAATGAAGAAACATTTCAGGAAGTGCTATTTATGCATGTATATTATGCACTTCTTCATACATATCTGAAGAGGTAAAACTTGTTGCAGTTTAGCCTGTCAAGATGACAGGAACCCTGGGTACATACCGGCTGCAAAAATCCCTTAGGAAAAAGGGATCCAGAAGTAGCATATGCTTTCAATTTGCAGGAAGCAAATCTGATCTTTTGAATATCAAACACAAACCCCACCAACAGCACATGAAAACAAGAACGGATTGGCCATCTTGAGACATAAATCTGACATATCATAAAGGCACTTTTGTCAGCTACTTCTGCTTTCCCTGCCAGGGGTTTGTTCCAGGCTTGGTTTGCAAGTGGTTGTTTCTTCCATTTATCATATTAAACTGGTTTTTTGCATTATATGATTTTTCTATATTTATAGCAAAAAAAAAAAATACACTACTTGTCATCATCTTTTACTTTGTAAATTTTATGAGTTGCTAGGAATTTCAGTCAGGTACACTGTACCTCACTACTTGTCTTTTTTAGATACTTTATTAGAAACACATTTTCATTGGCTTTGCATACACCCTGTCATTTGCTAACTATGGCCAACTTATTACTGTTACCTCGTGTATATAGATACAAGATATTATTTTTTAATAAATGCATGTATAAAGTATATAGGGACTCTATTAACAAGCAGGTCAAGGACATAACATTTTTATGCCTCAGCTCATTTCTTCTGAAGAAACCATAATGATTTTCGTCTTTCTAGAAAGGAATATATATTTTCTTGCTTCTGTGCAAAATAAGTAGAAGTTACTTGCTGTGTTATGCCCTGTGCTCTTTTTAGCCATATGCACTATGAAGCCCCAAATGTGACATCTCAAAGTTGTTCAGGCTTTTTCAGCTGAACGTATCTCATCAATGGTCTACACTCTTTAAGTACACCTGAACAGCCCAGGGCAGCAGATCTAACCAAACAGCTTAAAAAATTACAAGTCTCTCTACCAGATAAGGAAAACAGCCTCAAAGTGTCAAAACTCCCCTATTTGACAGTCAGTCCTATGCTTCCAGTGGGCTCATACGCACACAGTGTGTGTGGGTGTGTGTTGCACCGTCCTGTCCCATTCAAGGCTAGAATCTCAACCTTAAGTTCCTCTGTTCACAAGCAGATCCCACTCCAATGCCAGAGATTAATTGCCTAATTATCTTGCTTACTCCTTCTTGGAAGGTTGCCCTCTGGCTCCTCCTCCTGGTTTTGAAATTTAGAAGGATGAGCCACCAGAAGCAGCAGCGGCTTGTAAACAGTAGGGAGGTAACAGTTGTAGATTTTAGGCAATGAACACCTTCCAATGACAAAATTGTTGCTATAAAACATTTAGGAGCCTTTCTCACACATAATATGATATTTTTTACCTTCTGTCACTTGACACAGGCTATCACTAACCTCAAGATCAACTCCTGATCATGTAAAGATGGTCTTCATTTGGTGTGCTGTTGCTATCTAGTCTCAGTTCAGAAGATTGTTCCAATGCATCCCAGGAAGTCCCTGGGTATAAGTGAAGAACCTACATGTAAGGTCCTTAGAACCATACAGTGCATCAACCACTAAAGAAATATTCAGCCACAACAAATGAGATGCTGTAGAGAAATTGAGTAGAAGATAAAAGATCAAGAAACTGGAATACTAAGCAGAGACATTATTATTATAAGCAGGATATGATAAGCAGGACTGTGATAAGCAGAATTATGATAAACAGGATCAAATTGTGTAACAGGATATGTTAGAAATAAGTTTCTGTTTGGAGGGAAGAACAAATAGAATGTAGGTGAACTGTGACAAAGATGAATTCCTAAAAATGTAAGGAAATTAAGGTTGAAACTAATTACAGAAAAGGTGGCATCTAAAACATCAGTGTCTGATAAAAATGGAAGGAAAGAAGAGTCATTTAAAGAAAAAAAAAAGCTTAAGGAAAGAAAAGATCTTTTCAAAGTGAACATGAGAGGTAAATGATGCAGTACTAAAAGGGGATGTAACTGAAAAATAACATTAACGTTTCAGATATTAAATAAGTATAAATATTAAGGATTTGTAAAAGACTTACTTATCTTACTGATATATCTTACTTACATAGGGTGTATATACATACATTTTCTTAAAATAGAAGAAGGTTAATAACAGACAATTGAGACATCCCATTAGAAGCCCCCTCTGTTGATAACGGAAGGCACATTTGCAGCATGGCTTTGACATATGGTTTTCCTCTTCATACTTATCATTGAGTTAATTTTGGTTAACACTAGGAATTAGGAGATGGTATAGTGCCAGCATCACAATTGTATCTGGTACCATAACTCGAGGCCGTTTCACACGTAAGCTATTTTTACCTTACCTTGTACAATTACTCTTCAAGTTTAACGAAAGGAAGCAAATCAAACGGGATGGCTGTCAAAGCCTTTTATGGACTGAGCTTCTCACACCGCTGATAAGGACTTGATTAACTAAAGCCAGTGCTGAATTTCCCCAGTGCACTTGGACTCTATTATATTTCGTCACACACAGTGAGGCAGCCCAAGAGCACACGAATGCCCAAGAGGCAGCCCAAGAGCACACGAACGCCTGATGCTGCGCATGTGCCCGGCCACACGCGGGCAGCTGTCAGGATGCTGAAGGTGGCCACAGTGGCACAACTTTCACTTCCACGAGGGCTCCGAGGTTGTCATTAAGCTGAGAAAGGTGAGGATAAGACTGGACAGAGACATTTTACCTCAGCCTTCAAGTCTCCCTGCACCTGTGAGTGGTTTCTTGTGCTGTCCTGAGGAAACCTCATGCTTCATCAAGGTCAAAGCTACGGGACACTGGCAGGACCTCCCGTCCGACCCAATATAATATATTTTTATACCACAAAACCGATTTATGCTTCTATTCCCACTATTTTGGCTCTTTCAACGACCAAACCCCAGCTTCAGCTGGCATCCCCTCAGCGGCCCCGCCGCGCAGGGGACGGCTTCCCGACCAACAACCTGTGCTGCCGCGGAGGCTGCGGGACAGAGCCACAGAGCCACAGAGCCACAGAGCCACAGAGCCACAGAGCCGCGGATCTGCGGGTGAAGCGGCTGAGGGGTGCGAGGGCAGAGCCGGCGCGGCGCTGCACGGCGCGGCGGTGAGGGGCGGCCCGCTCTACCCAGCATGCCCCGCGCCGGAGGGCGAGCGGCCCTTTCCCGCGAATTCAGTTCAAAGGCGGGGGAGGGGAGAAGCGCCAAGCGGCGGAGCGCACGGACCAACCAAACTCTTCCAGAACCATCCGTGCGTCACGCGGGGGCGGGCCCCGCGCCGGCCAATGGGGCGGTGCGGCGCCATCTTCGGAGCCAATGGGAGAGTAGGGGAGGCGGGCGTGTCGTGGTCGTCGGGTTCGGCTGGTCGTAGCGCTGAGGAGAGCGGAGCGGAGGAGACTTGGAGGAGTTGGAGCTCGGCGCTTCCCCTCCCCCCGCCTCACCCCACCCGCCCCAGCCGCCCCCTCCCTCCCCGCTCGGTCTCCGTCCTGCCGGGGCCCTCTCGGGGGCCAGGCCCATGGCTCCTCAGAAGCACGGTGGAGGTGCGGGGCCCAGCTCGGGCTCCGCTGGCGGCGCCGCCGGAGGAGGAGGAGGTGGCGGCGGAGGCGGCGGCGGCGGCGGCGGGGGGTTCGGGGGCTCCGCTGCGGCGGCGGCGGCGGCTCCCGGCGGCAAATCCGGTGGTGCCGCAGGCGGCGGCGGTGGCGGCGGAGGAAGCGGCTACTCGGGCGGTTCCTCGGCCTCATCGGCGGCGGCGGCAGCGGCGGCGGCGCTGCCCCCCGTGAAGAAGCCGAAGATGGAGCAGATCCAGGCCGACCACGAGCTCTTTCTTCAGGCCTTCGAGAGTGAGTACCGGGCCGGGGGAGGAAGTGGGGGCCCGAGCCGGCGGGACCGGCTGGAGCCGCCGCAGAAAGGGCGGGAGGAGGAGGGGAGGGCTGTGGAGAGTAGGGGCTTCCGGGGGTAAACATGGTCGGGGGAGGGAGGGAGCTGGGACCGGGGAGGAGGGCGAAGGGGAGCGGGGCTGGGGGAGGAAGGGGCTCGGCCGGGGAGGCGGGGGCCCGCCGGGGCTCGGGCGGAAGCGTGAGGTTCGGGGGCCGGTGTGGGGCAGGGCGGTGAGAGGCGCCCCGGGCCGGGGCCCGCCGAGCGGAGGGCGGGTTGTGTCTGCGCCCAGCCGATGAACTTGGTTGCTCAGTAGTAGCTCCCATCAGGCTTTCGGGGTGGCTGCTGGCTCCCTTCCCTCCTCTAACAGCCCTTGGAGGCACAGGGGAGTTGAGAACCTGGAGGCTCTTCTTCCCCTTTGGCGACTGCCATTGGAACCCCTTTCAGGGGCAGGATGTGATTAAGACTTCACTGTACTTGGTTTTTCTTTGTCTGGCCATAATTGTCCCTTAGTTGAGATTTCATATTGGAAATTGACCTTTGCGACCCACACATCACCCTGTGGCAGTGCCAGATAAGAGGAGAATCCCCTTGGATGCACCAGAAAGTTGTTTATGGAAATCTGCTTCGAAAGCATAGTGTAGCAATCGACATACATTGTACTGAAATATTTCTGTGCAATTGCTAGGATTTGAAGGAAATTTTTAATGCCATATTAAATACATGATCCTGTTTTAGGATTGGTGCTGTCACCGCTTATGCTCGCTTGCTATAGACAGTGACAGTGTTTGAGAAAGCATTGGAGTTTTTGGTGGTCTGTAAAATCCTTACTAACGTGGGGTCCTTTGAATCAGCCCTGTTAACAAAGCTCTGTGTTCAGTAAATACAGTACTGCAAATAGGTCAAGTAGCAAATGAGTTCTAAGAGGTTTGTTCAGTGTCCGCGTCCAAGATGCAGGGGAAAAAAATTCCCTTGCCCATGCCTCAGTCTGTCAGATAGATCTGTGCAGGTAGCGATCAGGAATAAGTTAACATTGTAAATGTATCGTGGTGTGTTAGCTCCACAGTGTGAATTTTATGGGAAAACTGCAATAAGTACATAATGGATTAAAAAATCCTAACAAATGTAGTATCGAATCACATTCTTCCTTCGTGTTTTTGCCCCTTTTCAAGGTCATATGCTAGAAAAAGATAAGGATTCGTTTTAAGCTTTTGCTGAATAATAAGCACTTGAGAAACATGTCTGCTTGCAGGATGAAATGTGTGTTTCAGAGCTTTTCTACTTGGGAAAGCTAAATTTGAAGCAGCAGTGTGCTGTCTTTAAATTAAATTACATCCTTGTGTGTGTAATTTAATGTTTTCATACCTGTCTGAATTCTAATCGTGTCATGCTTTTTTGGAGACTAAAACCCCCCGAGATACTGCTTTAAAAGTTGTGACTACTTTACATTTTCACTTTCTAGCAAAGTGCACGTTGCTTAATTTCTTTCTTTTCCATCTTTCATCTTGATGTGAAAAACACAGATTTCATTACAATCATTTGCATTAAGCAGAATTTTACTGGTTTTCATCAGGCTTCTGAAAGGAAATACTGAGAATTCTAAGATTTCGTTCTCTAATAATAATATGTCTCTCTAATAATAGATTCTTTGGGGTCTTAACATTCGTAAGTGTTCATAAGGCTGAATAGTATCTTTAAAAAGTGATAAAAGATATAAAATGCTGTCCTCCTTCACTTTTAATCACAGAATTCCATAAACTAAAATAAGGTTTCCAGCTGTTTGAAATAACTGTTTTGCAGTCATCTGAAAATAAAAAGTTTTTTATTTCTTAAAAAATAGTTGTTTGTTTTTCTTTATATGGGAAATGGAGGCAGTGTTAACAGCTGTAGCACAGGAATCAAGGTGTTCTTCATTTTGTTTCTCATCATTTAATGTGTTTTATCAAGTCATTTCCTAATTTCTTGCTGGCATAACCTAATGAAACAGGCTTTTATTTCAGTGTAAAAAGGGTGTATTTCAGTTTAGATTGGAATTCTCATTAGATATAACCTGATCCAGACAAAAACCTTTTTTTGTCCTGATTTAACTGAATTGGTTGAAACTAAACGGAAGCTCCTCTTTTCTGTAGGCAAGTCTAGATCTTTTGAACTTTGGTTGTTTCACCTATTTCAAACGATGCTGCCCTTTCGTGTCTGTACTGCACACAGTTGTATTATCTTCCTTCTGATTGCTCTTTGAAGCAGTGGTTGCTATACCAGAATCAACGTTTTTTTCTGATCCTATGAACGTAAAAAGGTTTTGGAAATGAATTTCTTCTTGTAGAATGATCTGTAATGTCTCGTAGTCAACTGACAGTCTCTGTTCTTATTTTGGTACCTTGTGCAAGTGACCTTGGTACTTTCCAGAAGGATAAAACAATCAGATACCAAATTGACTATGTAAATCCAGTCTACTCTTTTGGTATTGTATCACACATGCTCCTTAACTTTGTGAAGAAAATTTACCTATTTGGTAATAGGTTGTAATAGGTTGAGGTTTTTTATGATAAAAAGCCTGTAAGAAACATACTTTGTGGAAAGCAAGAGCAGTCATAGTTGTGACTACTGATTTATGGTAGCTTAAACAAGAACTTGCTTTGTGTTGTACAGTAGGTAGAGTAACTTTTCCCTTGTTAGCTTGGAGTTATTTGGACATCGTGGTTCTTCATTTAAACAGTGACTTATGTGATAATTATTTTAAAGAGCAAAAACATGCTAAAAAAGATATTTTTATGTCAATGTAAGGCTCTTTCTGGAGGTAGAAGGTATGTTGGATAACACGTATTTCTTTTT